TACCTATGAAGAAAATTACAGGCCTCTCTCATCTTTTTAAGTGGGAGAACTTGCACAATTGGTGGCTGACTAAATACTTCTTTGCCCCACTGTACTTTATCTCAGCCTTCACTGCAATATGGAGGTAATAATACTAATATGCTCCATAAGATTTTAATAAGATATATTAAGACTGTCTATATCAAATACTAACAAGGCATTTTTAACAATCAAGGAAAAGCAGGATAGGAGTGGCAGCTCTGAAAATAAAGTCCATAGAAACATCACATTTGCTTCTGGCTTTTAAAGAACTTAAAGTTATAAACAGAAGAGCATCAGCTTCTAATGCAGAAGTAAATGATCAGATTAAGAAAGTATCATTGTTTACTTCTTTCTATGATATCAATGCCTTACTGTTTCCAAGAAAACAAAAAATAGCTTTTGTGTCTTATTTACAGTTATGTTATAGTCATTTCCTTCCCTGCCATTGTGAATTAAACTTTTTTTGAAAAGTGCAGGGAAGACCTTGCTTTTTCAAAACTGTTGCATTAACTTTCATGGCCAAAAATATATGATATCAGCATTATCATAAAATAATAACTTTCTAGCACTCTGCTAAGAAATATAAAAATATATTTAATATATATACATAATGTTGGCATGCAAATGCATATTCAACAAATGGAAGTCTTAAGCCAATGCTCTGCATTTGACCTTCCAGTATATTTCATGTATCTTTCAGTTACAGATCAGCCAAGGAATGGAATGGAAGAAGTGGACCTTATTTTCTGGCAGAAAAAAAAGAAAGAAAGAAAGGGTCAAGAATCTGTATCAGTTCCGATAATGTAGAACTACATTCAGCTCAGGAGGTATTTAAAAAACTACAACAATGTGTTTAATACACTAGCAAAATATTTATTTTTTAATAATGACATAACAGAAAGTTTTTTGGTGTGCCACAGTAATTGTAGTTAAAGAAAAATGGGATTAATCGGCTCTTTATACATCTCAATGCCAAAAAAAAAAAAAAAAGTTAGCATCAAATCTGAACTGTTCACCATTTAAAGAAGTGTAAAACTTATAACCACCCCCAACATATATATAAAGAATTATAGTTTTAAAATCTATAAAAAGTAAAAAATATACACTCAGAAGATCTAACTCTTATTCAGCCTTTCATATAAAACTGTAAACATTTATTTACACAAAGAAAATGTGTAGAATAGAAAAATTGAGCACCCTTTCCATTTCGGGGGGGTTTAGGAAGGCAGTGGATGTTGGACAGGTGTGATTTTTTTCCACACCTTCTCACCAGCCCATGGCTGCAGCCTATAAATAAAACTGAGGCAACAGGCCAGGCAAGGGGTGTGTAGGTGGGCGGGCGTTATTGCTATGAAGCTGCAGCAAATAGAAAGCACAAGTGCATATATTCATTTGTGAATTGCTACTAGTGACTGAAGGGCAGGGCTGCACTTAGCCCCAACTAGCTTCCATGTTCAATCATCACTGCACAGCACATTTCTTTCTACATCATGCTACATTTTCAAATCTGAACAATTTTGTATCAACTGAAACCAACATCAACCAAAATCAAGTTGCAGATATATATGACGTATATTCTTATATCTAAATTTAAAAGGGCGTTGTCAATCCAAAGTTATTCTAAGCTAATTTATTTAACCAGAAGGCATTTGGTACTTTTGAGATGTTACAAATCACAATTCCCATCAGTCCAACCAGCGTGTTAACTGTGTGTGGAATTATGGGGATTGTAATCCAAAATACCTGGAAAGCTACAGGATGCTTATCCATAGCTGCACGTGCTGCAGTTGACAAAACTATATGTAACATGACAGAGAGGAGATATCTGCCTGTAGCACTGGCAGACAAAGTGTCTGTTACATGTTCTTCTGACCAAAATTATAGTTCAGAAATTAAGCTAGAATGGCATAAAACTTGTAATTTTTTCACTGTACCTAAAGAAGAAATCAGCAGAACCCAAATAATTAAGAAGTATGAGGTCCTAAGTACCTCCAAAAACAAAAGGAAGGCACACTGGTGCAAGATTTCTAAAACACATAACAAATATACTTTATCTCCATTTCAAATCTCCTCTCTCCAGGCCCCAATAATTTTTCCATGGTCAAAAGAAGCAGCTACAAAGATTACAATGTTTTCCAGCTGACATTCATTTTGGATCAAATCTTTGATTAAACTGAATTCACTGAAAAATTTAACTGCTGATTTATGGAAAAGATTAGTAAATTTAACTCTAATCTAATTTACTTACAATATCAGTGACACCTATATTTTATTTATTAAATTAACCAACTCTTATAAAATGATGTTTTAAAAATATACACTCAATGGAATTTGCTTCAGTTTGGACATATCAGTAGTGGAACCACTCATTAACATGCAGCTTTCACCATTGTCCCCCATCAATTGTCCATCAAGATAAAACACAAACATCTCTTTAGCATGGCATACTTAACTTGATCATGGATGGCAACCATATACAATGAAATTAATGGGAAAAAATTAAATTAAAAGTAGTGTTAAAGCAGATTGTTTTCCAAAGTGCACATTTGAGAAGAACACTGCACATACAGTAAAATATTTTCCTATGGTTCATCTTCTTCAATCTCTTAACTGTTCCCCTGTCTAAAATATCCCAGATTCAAATCTTTCTATAAACGCTCCTGAACGTGTCTGATGCAAAGGAAATTCTTTGATTCTCAGTTGCAGGTGTTATGAAGTAAATTAAGAATCCTTATAACAGGAGGTAAGTAGTCCTGTTCATTAAAGAACAAAACCAAACTCAGAGTAGGAACAGAGAGGTATCTATGCATCTAAAACAACTTTCAAATTGTTTACCTTTATAAACTATAGGTTAAGGCAAAAGGTGGCTTGTTGGCAAGTAGAAATTCTTTTTGGTAACACATTAAAAATAATTCTCTTTTCCTTGCCATATAAAGAACTGATTTTACACATCCAGGAAAGCATCTCCATAGACAATGATGAATTAGCAGCATTCGTTTCATTGGAGATTAGTCTTTATATTTCTAAAGAGCTTCAACCATCATTTTACCCAAAGGTTGGGGGAACCTCACAACTCAAGAATTTTCAAAAAGTATAGTGTCTCCCCTGTCTTCCTGTGCCATTATTGCAAAATTTTCATGTCAATAACAACTCCAAGGCACAAGACTTGCTTCATATGCTTGACAAAGACTAACTCATCCTATCCACATTGTACAGTATGCATGTGGCAACAAAAACACTGCTAAGTATAAATGCCCTCTGAATAAAAGAGAGAAATCAGGTGTGATTAATCCAACTCTAATGAATGCAGGAAAGGAGATAGAAAAAGTGCACACACTTGATTTTAAGTCTGTTTCTCCAATTTAAAAAAACTCTAAAAACCAAGAACTCCCCCCTCCCCCCCATAGCAGAGTGCAAATTGCTTAGCTTAGTAAGCCATAAGCCAATTAAGACCAAGTTCCCCAGTTTAGGTCTACAGCAACCTGTTGCTGGAAATGTTTTAACATTTAACAATCTCCAGCACAGAAACCCATTATCAGTTATTACTGTGAATTCTCATCTCTGGTTTGCTAAGAATGTAGGCACACATTGATTAGAAGACTATCCTCCCTAAACTAGGGAGGATTCCATAAAGGAACAAGGGTTTCTTTCCTTGAAAATGGTGGCAAGGTGATACTTTTACTATTTAGAGGGCCAAATTAAGATCAAGAAACCTATTAAGTACTATCTGTAGGAAAGAATGACTTAACACTGAGTATTTAAACCCTAACCCTTGCTGGCTTACTTTCTGCACCACAACTGCATGGGTTCACATTTAAATTCTTCAAATGCAAAACAATGGAAAAAGTTACATTTCTCATGGGCTGTTTGGGGTATACACCAAACTGTACTGTTTACACACGTGATGTTCCAGACACACTATAAAAATTAGCTTTCTTCCTATCAAACTGGTGCATCTTTTTTATGTTCTTAGACCCAGAAAGGAACAACTCCAATACATTCCCACTAGAGCCTGTGAGTTTTCAGTGACACAGGTATTTGGTCCAAAGATAATTTGTAATAAAAAAAAACTCAGGGAAGAAAAAAAAAACAAATCTAATTTCAGTGATTCCCTAACAACTCATCCAAATCATTCATCCACTCTTCTGAAGTCCTGTTTTTCAATAAAGTGTCTATGAGGTCTGTATCCCCAGTTAAGTTCTGTAGTCCATTACCTCCAGATGGGTTACTGTAGGCAAAAGGCAATTCCTGATTAGCTGTCCTCACTGGATAACCTTGAGTACAGTGTAGATTGGTTCTGTTGGACAGCTGTTGATTTTGATTCTGGCTGAAAGTCAGATCTGGGACAGTTTGACTCATGCCTGGCAAGACCTGTTGTGACTGGACTGGTTGCTGAGTAGGAGGATTTGTCCGCTGCTGGGCCCCTAGTGATGGCAGTATCTGTCCAGAGACAGCTGAATTCATGGATGCTATTGTCCTGCTGGTGTTGAGGCTTACCTGAGGCATTCCTTGGGCAAACTGTTGATTGGGCAACTTTAGGTGAGTCTGCTGCATATGGAAGGTGGAGCTGGCAGTAAACGTCCCTAAACCACTATTTCGTTGAGCCTGATTGTTCATATTTGATATACCTTGATGCTGCCATGATGAATTTTGGGCCCCAATTGCTGGCATTCTTGCCATCTGAGGCTTGGATAATGTCGCATTTAGTGCTCCTTTATTGTGTTGGTGAGAAATGCCTGAATTTCCTAGGGTGTTCTGTCCATATCCAGCAGGAAGAGCTGCACCCTGAGCCAAACTGGGTTGTCTTTGCATCTGTGGCTGACCATTGGCAGTTGGATTTGCATGCTGTGGGACCATTTGGGACATACCAGATGCCATGTTGTATAAACTACCTCGCTGAATGTTCTGCAGGCCAGTATACTGATTAACTGCTCGATCTTGTTGATTGCTGCTTGATGAGACAGAATTGTGCCCTGTCCCAATCTGAATCATGTTCTGATTCTGAGAAAACATTCGTGGACTGCTGGAGTTGGACTGGCCTAAATTATTTACCCCTGTCATTGCTGGAGATGAACCTGTAGTATAATATAAGATTTCCAACATTAGTGATTTTAAAAAATAACCCAAGCCTTCTCAGAATATTTAAGTGCAACATTATACATACAGCATGCAGTACAGTAGTTTCTAGCTATATTTAGGGTTTGCTGGCTTAGATCGTGAAAACTTCTAATGGGATGGGCTTCAGGAAGATTATTTTTCTTCTTCTGCCTGCCAGCCTTCTGAATAGCCTCTTTGAAATGTTGTGACTATCATGAATGGGATGGGCTGAGGCTCTGGGAGCTAAGGGGAGAAGCCAAAAATTAAACAAAGGCAGCTTCACTGAGTATGTTTTTCCTTTTATCATAATGGCACACATATCTTTGGGTAATGAAACTTGCATTTTTATAAGATTAACTTTTTAAATACAACTGATTAACCTGGAATACATTGTACGAAGACACAACCAACTATTTACAATGTTGATTTCTGTTCCAACTAGTTATCTGGGCTTGCTGTTTAAATCTGTTCCAGACGCAAGATTCATTTACACTATTCCATTCCTCTACATATGAGTCAAGTCACTATTAGCCATCTTTATATTCATATGTATACAGGAACACATGACTGCAAACTGAACCATACATGGATATAGTTCCAATGCTTTTCATAATTGTAGCAGTTATTTCAGTACTAGTTGCAATAATGAGAATTCCAAAAGCTCTTTAGAAGGATGTGCCATGGCTAGGACTGTGCTCATAGTGAGAAAAGCGCCTAGGTTAACCATCTCTTGGTTACTAAGGCAAATCTTTGTGTTTTATTTCTTTTATTTCTTTGTTATTATTATAAAATAAAAGGAAAAAGGCAAATGGGACTGCAGCTAATAATAGAGTGCATGGAAGATAGCCTATACAACCTACTTGTCCTCTACTCCACTCTCTAAAAACCAAAACCTAGAAGTTGTGAAGTCCACCTAAATAGTGGGGATTGCAGTGCATAAGTCACGCTAGAGAGCAGGAATAACCTACTATTCATTTTCATGCATTTACATTTCATCTAGCCTTATACAGTACTACTCCCCAACTATTCAGAAGAGTTTCAATACTATGGAAAAGGATTCACATGGTACAGGGGTAATAGGAATTGTAGAGGTAGAGTGCAGTTGTGCAAACCACTTCCTGATTGTACAACCTATGGATATCCTAGCCAAGAAATATATATTTTTAAGTTCTGTAAGAAAGCAAGGATATCTTTAATGACTAAACATGCAAAACAATATTACAGGTAGTCCTTGTTGAACGACCACTTGTTCAGTGACCGTTTGAAGTAATGACAGTGCTGAATGAGGGGACTTATGACCAGTCTTTGTACTTGTGGCTGTTGAAGCGTCTCCACGGTCACATGATTGCAATTTGGGTACTTGGTGACTGGCTTGCAATTGCGACGTTGCAGCATCTCGTAGTCACGTGATCACTATTTGCGACCTTCCCTGCTGGCTTTTGACAAGCAAAGTCAATGGGGAAGCTTGCAGGAGGTTGCAAATGGTGATCATGTGACCACAGGACACTGCAACTGCACGGGATTCACCTAACAACGGCAACTGAGACTGCTGGAACGGCTGTAAGTTGGCATGGTCATGTGACATCATACCTTGTGACCGTGTCACTTAGTGATGGAGTTCCCGATCCCAATTGCTGTCGGTAAGTGAGGACTACTTGTATTGGACAAAGTTAGCTGGGACACTGACACAGGCATTTTGGTAACAACGGAGAATGAAGCAGCACTGAGACCAGGCCAACCTCTATTACAAATTCATGCATATATTTATGAGTGCTACAACTTAGTCCACAACTAGGAAACAGAGAGGTTAACAGACAAAATGGGGAACATTATACAAATACATGTTTGTTTACAACTACCAAAAAGGGCACAGAAAGAGGATAATAATAGTGCATTTTCTTTCATTCAAGAGGTGATTTCAAAAGAACTATTCATGTAGAAGGTTTTGTCCTTATGTATAGCCACTGCTGTCCCATATTGAAAAGTTAACTTAGACAGAATGAACACAGCTTAAAAATTATTAGAAAATATACAGGAGCATGACAACTATAATAATCCTAAAGAGCTCTTTGCTCAGTTTGCCTCAGCTTTCAACGTGAGAGGTTTGCCTAAACCAATATTCTTGAGTGTTAACAAGGAGAGAATCAGTTAATATTACAGAAACACAGTGTCCCAAACAACCTAACATTCATTATTTGCACATACTGCAATATAAAGGATTTGTTACTTTTGTGGAATGCTGCTTTTAAAAACCCTAAGAATTTAAAAGCATGACATTTACCATCAGTGGAGTTGATTCCTGCCCTCTTGGCTCCTGCAAGGATCTGGGGAAGGGGATGTGACAACTTGGATCTGGGAGGGGGCACTGCCCACAGCATTGAAAGAGGGTGAATGGTCTGCCCCTTACTCAAGCAGCTCTCCCTGGATCTTGCTATTTTTGATAACTATTACCCAGTCTTTAACATTCCTTTTGGGTTGTTGAGTGAGTGGTGGGGATCCAGCTGCAGAGTGCCCTGGGGAAGCAAATTGTCTGGACCCTCTTAAGTCAGGATTCAGGCCTGGATTGTGTACTGAATGGCCTTGGTCACTCTGGTGGATTTTTGCTGGGACCTGGGCAGGTGTAGCGCATCCCATTGATCATGGGATCCTTTTGGACGACATGCAAAGGCTAGAGATTGGAGGTTCTGTTTTGGAGTGACCCCACTCCTTTCTGAATAGGCACTTCCAGTTGGTGATTGTGGGGGAGGAGAAATTGATCTAGTGGCTACTCCTGTGTGGGATGGTATAGAGTTTGATTCTCTCCACTCTACTATTTGAGATCTACATAATGCTGCTAAGAGAGGTCATCAGGTCATTTGGTGTAAGGTATCAGCAATATGCTAATATTCAATTATTTACTGCCACCTGGGGGCCTGGGGGAGACCTTGTCCTAGTGTCTAGAGGCTCTAGATGAAAGAAAGTAAGCTTAAATTGAACCCAAAGATGATAAAATTGCTATTTGGTTACTATGGCCCCCTGTCACCTCTAATGGTAGAACTGCCCCTGACAGAGCAAGGCCATGTTTGGGGGATCTTCTTGGATGCGTAACACCTGCTAGAGAGGCAGCTAGAGGCCATGGTCAGAAGGTCTTTTGCTCAACTTCCACTGGTGTGCCCATTATAGCCCCACCTGGACCTTATTACAGCCCAAGGACCTTGTTACAATGACTAATACCCTTGTCACTGCTCACCTAGACTACAATGCACATTACATGGGGCTGCCTTCAAAGAACACTTGGTAACTCCAACTGATCAAGAATTGGTGGCTTGCAATTCCTCTCACTGCACTACCAACAGCTTCTCCTGAGAGAGATGTCTTGGATGAATCAAGGAGATACATTTTATGGTTGGAGATGATCCTGAAGGCATCTAGGTGTCAAGCCATAAAGGGAAGGACTTTATAGGTTAAAACTAGGACTTTGCATTGTTCTTGGAAACCTACTGGCAACCAATACAGGGTCTGCAAACTTGGTGTAATATACTTATTGTGCTGAATGCTTCCCAACAAAAGCTGCTGTTACATGATTTTATTAACTTGATTAATTAATCTGTATTTTATTGTGGACATTTTAATTGGTCTATTTTATAACTGTTGTCAACTATTAGGAGTCACATGTTGTAATGGCACATATATTTGATAAATAAAAATCAGACTATAAACTTTGATGCAAAAGAGCCTTTTAAATGTAACTCATGTCCATCCCAGGAAGCCCTTCATACATCAACCCCACATCCCTCTTTACCTGTGAACTGGCCAACCTGCTGTTGGTATGCATTTTGTGTCTGATCTTGGTACTGAGGCGGTCGAGTCAAATGCCTCTGGAGTTGTTGCTCCTGATGATGCCTTTGTTTCTCCTAAAATGGGGAGATCCAGGTTATCACAAGAATGTGTCTCCACAGAGAGCATCGGATGTAAAGTTTTACTGTTGTACAAACCAATCAATGCTTTAGTTTTAATATCATAACACCAATTTGGAAAAAAATGCTACTTCTGTGTACATAAAATGTAACATGTGCTCATTAAAACATGAAAAACAAAAGGGATCAAAAATGTTCTGGGAAAAAAGCTTTATGTGATAATATAATTAATGTAAAGGGATTAATGTAAACATTCTTTGGGCCAAGCTTGATTTGGAATGACTGCCTTCATGCAGTTCTCTTAGTAGAGTTTTGGAAGTGGTTTGCTGCTGTCTTTGTCCAGGATTATTTTTCAACTTTCCTGTCAAGTAAACAGCCCTGATATTCCCAGATGGTCCCCCATCCAAGTACTAACTATGGCTGACCATGTATGAAGTTTTAACACATCCAAATACCCAGAAGTACCACGGGGGCCACTTCATCCTGTCCTAAAGTAAGCCTTAAAGTTTGAATTGATACCTAACATTTATGAAGTTGAAAGTAAATATTACTCCATTTGTACAATGAATATCAGCCCCTTATTTGACATTCCCTCTGTCTTCCTATTACAGGTAGTCCTCACTACCACTCATTTAGTGACTGTTCAAAGCTGTGATGGTGCTGAATGAGTGGTATTTATGACTGGTCCTCTAAATTCCGGCCATCGTAGTGCCCCCACAGTCACATGATCATGATTTGGGCACTTGGGAACTGGCTCATACTTATGATGGTTGCAGTGTCCCACAGTCATATGATTGCCATTTGCGACCTTCCCTGCCAGCTATCCACAATCCAAGTCAATGGGGAAGCTGGAGGGAAGGTCACCCTGGCTCTGGTAAGTTGCCCTGGCCTCCCTGCACTTGTGCTGCACCATCCCCCGCTTAGCTTCAATGCGCTCATGCTGTGCCATCCATCCCGTGGCCTCTCTCTGCTTGCACTGCACCCCACGATTCACCCTTGTGGCTTCCCTGCGCTCGCACCCCACCATCCACCCTGCAGCCTCCCTGCACTCATGCCACCCTACCCAGGGGTTGCCTTCCTGTGCTCGTGTCCCACCCCGCCACCCACACCCAGCCTTTCTGCATTCATGTGCAGCCTGCGCCAGCCCTCCCAAGGTCTCCACCCTTGCTTAATAACCCATGTGTCTTGGGGTTACGATGGCAAGGACTTCTGGGATTGCTGTTGCTAAGCTATGCAGTCATGCGACGTCATGCTTTACGCTAATCCTGGTCCCAATTGCCGTCATAACCCGAGGACTACCTGTACTACACAGTGTCCTTCTTAGAACGATTTATTTACTCTGTATATGTCTCTCATCCTAGCTTTTTTGCATAACTATTAGGAAAAATAGTCTCTTCACTGCAAAAGGCACGTATCTTGACTTAATTTCAAGAAAATGTTCAAATGGGAAATATCAGTTTCTGGTTTCATACCTGAACCACAGAATTGCTTAACAGAAACCTTAATACTTTACTACATTTGGTTCAGTGAACTCTCCGCCTAGCCTATTATTTTGTATATGCTCTTAAGAAAATAGTAGAATCTTATCCACTCTTATGTAATAACAATTCCTTTATCTTGTGATTGTCCAGTTATCATTTATTCTTCAAGAAACAAGTCAAGTCACAATAAATCACAATACCACTGTCTTTCACACTTACAAAAAAGTAATGGTGCCCTCAGAGTTCCTCACTAAGAAAACTATGACAACTAATTAAACTTTGCTAAGCTGCTTCTTAGTTACAGTACAGAAATCTATGTTCATTATTTTTCTTACAGAGGCTACAAAAATTAAAACATTGAATACTCACAGTTTTTAACTAGGAATATATCCTAAGTTTAAATATTGCTTCATACATTTTAAAATAATATATAGATTCATTCATGCAAAACAGCAATTTAGCTATTTCAAAATAAAATATTTCAAATATGCTGTGAGACGGGACTTACAAATCATCATGTGAAAATAATATAGTTCTCCTTACTGCAAATTCTAAAAGGAATTTCTAAATGCAGCAATAGCTGGAGGGGATCACAATTAGGTACTGGCCATCTTTCTCAACAACTATCACCCTAATCAATCTCCTTTCTTACTGATGATTTTCCCTGTTCATCTGAAAAATTAGGAAGAACAAGCAGATTTTGCAATAAAATCTGAGCATCTGCAGTAATCTTATATAGCATTCATAGTCAGTGAACCCTTCCCTTCTCCATCATTTCCCTTCCTGCACCTAGGGTTATTTGTGCCTGCTCTGCATTCCATGGGCACCAAACAGAGAGTCTTTACTGAGCTGTTTTTTAGCTGTTCATTCCTAAAGTTTCTTCTCTTCTGTTTCATAACACCTTCTTTATCAGCGGAAAAGTGCCGTTGTGGCTACATAACGATCCACACTCATCTCTAAATTCTGGAAAGTGGGAACATTTAGCCATTAATAAAGAGAAAGCATAGCTGAGGTAAGAGCCTAAAGAAAAGCTATCCTATTTATTTTTTATTACTGAATTCATACTCTGCCTTTCTGTTTAGACTAATTCTCAAGGCAGCTCACAACAATTAGCAACTCTCCCCCTGGATGTGTGCCTGCAATTCTCCCTAGTCCTTTCTGAATCACAGGTGGCCCCTGGGTTAAGAATGCCCGACCTAAGGACGACCCATAGTTAAGAACTCATTCTTAAACTGGAGACTACCTGTAAGGGCATGTGTTTGAGGGGGCGGATGGGAAGTCTACAGAATTTGCAATAAATAGAACTAGGCTACTCTCCCATGGTAAACATAATATGAAATCTGGTTATTTAACATAATCAAGTACTGAACATTCCACTCCACTGACACAGCCTTTGTCATTGTGGTATGTTTTACCTGTTCAGCAAGAAGTTGCCTGTGTCCCATTAGATATTGTTTCTGTTGTTCCATTAACAACTGCTTCTGTTGCTGCTTATGATCTAGTAGCATCTGGTGCTGCTTCATTACAGCTGCTTGCTGCTGACTGTTGAGATAAGCTGCATTACCATGGTTACCTGCCATGGAAATATTGGGAGGCTGTGCATTTACACCAGCGCCAGGAACAGAAACAGGAATGCGAGGAACACCAGCAGAATGATTCTGATCCTACAAAAGCAGACACAGATATTGGATAAGCAGCAAGGACATCACTTGAGAAATGCAATATTAAGTCTCTACATTTTTAATGACCATATTAATGAAAACTTCACCAGTGTTCCTTACTGCATAGCTATTCATGAAAAAGAATAATCTAGCATAACTTTGTTTCTAAATGAAATGAGCCAAGGGGCATGAAATGATTTATATAGAAGAGCTGCCGCCTAGAGGCAATTTGAAGAAGTTTCATTGTGAGAGGCAGTTCAGAAAGGATCAACTTCCAAGTAGACTCTTTCAATAGGAAAAAAAAATATTTTAAACATAAATACTGAAACCCTAACCTCTAGTTTTAAGGATGATATTACAATCCTTAAAACTGGCTATTGCAATTATAGATTAATATGGCTAAGACTTGAATACCCACAGAGTACAGGTTCCAACAATTCAGCTCACTTTGGATCTCCCCAAATTTTAATATTTCGAGTGAACATGTTTTATTCTACTCCTAAATTATGTGATAACAAATTGTGTGGTTTTTTTTCCTTTGTTAAGTTTGTAGGTCATATCAAGGATGGCAGTGTTCTCCGTTTTAACTTGGCTGTGGAAACTCTTACTTAAGCCATCAAAAACTTTTAATATTTTCAAAGGAATACAATACAGGGGTAGAATAGAAGATTCTGCTATATACAGACAATATGTTATATTTATAGATAAAGCAGTGATGTCCATTCCTAATTTCATTTTGCCAGTATGTGAATTTGTTACTATATAAATGAGAATAAATCAGACTTAATGTCACTAGTTTAGTAATAATTTTGACATGCTGAAATATTTGATTTTATGTTGTGCCGTGATTCTTTTGGAAGAGAATATGAAACTCAGGGTTGAACTGTGGAGTCCTTGGGGTTCTCTGAGCTTGGATGTTTTCTTGCAAACATTTTGTTACCTGGCTAGGTAGCATCTTCAGTGCTAGAATGGAGTGGGGTTTGCTCTCTCATATACAGTGGCATGCCCTGCCAGTGTTGGTGGGAGTGGGTTTTTTTTTTTCTCCTTGGTAGTTCCTTGATTAGGGTATTTTTTACTGTTTGATTTTATGTCTGGTGATAATCTTGGTGTTAATCTCTGTTTATCTGGGTGATGATTGCTGGTGAGATGTTCTGATCTTTTGTTTCTTTTTTACTCTTTTGAATAGTGTGTAGATGTTGTTTATCTCTATGTGCCTGTTGATGACTGCCTTGTCTGAATACCAAGCTTCCA